CCCGCCGCGTCATCTCTCAACTATCAGCTCATTGCTCATGGCTCCTTGGCCCACTCTGCTGTGCGCTGTGCGACTGACTCATCCAGTGCCTCTTCAGAACGTGCATCTCTACAGGATCAGCAGTGGCAGTCTCCTGTCTTTAGGAAAAGGCGCACCACCATCCCCTTTGGGCTGCATTTGTACCCTTGACGACACAGCTATTCGAAGAGGCCGGTGCCACACGCCTCTGCTCTCCTCACCCCACAACGTCTTGACTAGTCCCCTCCCTGACCCCACGCTGCCAAATCCAAAGGTCACTTGTCCAGTGTCCTTGATCTCTTAGTAGCACTGGGGACAGCTGCGGATCCTCTTGAGTTTTAGGGATGCTGTGCCATCGCCTTGTCCAGTCCGAGGCCACCCAGGCTGCCATTCTCTGCCGGCTTCCTTGTAGACTTGCAAATATTTGCATCTCGCAAACATCAGCCTCAGCTCTCTTTTCTACCATTTCCTTGGGTGCTCTTTCCTGTAGTTTGAGACTGGGTAATTCATAAAAGAGGTACTTATTTAGCTCACAGTCCTCAAGAGGCAGCCAGGTGGATTGCAGGCTTGTATAGAAAACAAATTCCTAGTAGAGGAGGCTCCCAAGTTTGAAGCCCCTACAGACACCAAATGCAACCTGTAGGACACACAGCCCACCAGGCTCTTTTGTGATGGGGCCTGGCAAACCATCAGCTCATTGCTCATGGCTCCTTGGCTCACACTGGCCATTCTGACCTTTCCTTAGAGAGACAGGCCAATTCTTCCAGTCTCAGTATCTACCGTTTCCATTGCCGCATACCATCTCCTCCAGACCCTCGAAAGATCGATTCCTTCCTGCAACACAAGCAACTTGTAAGGTCGGCTGACCTGAGAGAATGTGCTCTTTCCATTGTTCAGGTTGCATGTTTGAAAGTACTTGTGAACCATGATATCCTAGAGAATACATTTTTGTTTGTGCAATGGAAGTTTTTATCACTGTGTATAAATATAGAAATTGTCCTGTGATGTATTTAAATAAGTCAGTGTATCAGTCAGTTCAACTGCTTTTTTATCCCAGGATGGCCTCTACTTTCTGTCTTCCTGTACCGCTGTCTTATGGGTAAGAACTTTTATATTCTTACTCACCACACAGAATTCTTTCCCATTGTTGATTTGGCTTCGTAAAGGGAAGGTAGCTTTCATTCCTTACTTAGCTTCATAGAATTAAAGATATTTCTTTACTATGCTATAGAAGCTATAAATAAAATGAAGTATAATTGATTTGACATCCACGCATGTAATACATGGGGGGAAATTCCACACAGGTTCCAAAAGCCAAAGAAAAGTGAGATTGTGGCATATACACACAAATGCACACATGCACAAACACACTCATGCAGGCACACACACAAGTGCACGTGTGGGCACAGAGGCAAGTAATCCTTGAAGATTTCACTTGGGTTTCAACTTGTCCTCAGTCACAAAGTGATTGAGAAACCATCCAGGGGATCTTCAGAAGCGCTCGATAGCTGTTAAAGAACATGGAGTCAATTTCATCGCCATATGAACTTATAGTTTAGTAAAATACTTTTGAAGAAAGAAATGACCAACCTGAACCCTGGAAAGTATTCCTCTTATCTTTATTTGGAAGTGAGGAAACAGAAACTATAAAGAAAACGAGAGTCCTGGCACTATGAATATTGATTCCCTGCAGAACTCCAAGCATGTTGTCGATTATTTATGAAAAGATGGTTTTAATGGAGAATGAAGGGGAAGGGCGTGGACAAATGGCATTTCCAGTCTGTCCTCTGAGCCATGATTTGACCTTGTGGAAGTCTCTGATTATGATTCTGTATTGGATTTAATAATACTTATCATAGGGATTCAAATACTGATTCAATATTATGGTTTAGCATTTATCTCCTTATATAAAATTTCTTACAAGGGTATATAAATTGCTATAAGCATAAAAAATAAACACAACAAAGATGTTGAGGATAAAGAGGCTTTCAGCCAGACAAATTCATCTCAGGGGAGCCCAGAATCTAAAATTGAATAATAAAATTTTTTGTTATTTTGTTTTTAAAGAATCTATCCAGGAGACAGAGCTACTAAGATGTAACTTTGCCCTAAAAAATACATAAAACACTTCCGGAAGGTTCTTTGGCTGTGAGCCCATCAATTTCAGAGAGCATGGATTTAGACAAGCCCCAGGAGGGTGTTGAGGCCATCATGACCTTTTCAAGCCCCCTGTCTCTGCTGGGACTTTTCCTATGTGGGTAGACTAGAAAGAAGAGTCAATGAAGGGGGACTGTAGACATGTTTGGACCCATTTAGACCACACATCAATTTATGAGTTCCAGAAAATACCGCCCTCCCTGAGGCTCAGTGCCCAAGTCTTAACACAGAGTTCATAATGTACCCTCTAGAATGTCTCTGAGATGTATGCATTGATAATATGACATACTGGGAACACTGTGTAAGCCTTAAGGGTTGAACATAAGTCTACCCAAAGCATGTTGCTTGTTTAGAGATTTTGGAGGAAAAAAAATGAACAGGGTAGAATGTGATGAACTCACATTCTACATAGTCACAGGCTCCCATTGTTTTGTGCTGGTTCAGGGAAAGGTGAGGATAAAGGTGTCCAAGGCCAAGAGCACTTGATTTTCTACTTGGCTAGAGGTGGGAGGGTGTTCATACAGAGGAAGCACAGGGGAGAGGCATAGCAGGTGGAAGACGGAGGACCACATGCTCACCACACCTGATATGAGAATGTAGTGAGTAGACATAGGAGGTCCTGTCCTAAGTCCAGATAGCTGCATCATCTTTGTACCTGCACTTATTACCTCAACATCTCCCATCTCGTAGCTACAAGAAAGCTCTAATGTAGCCTTGAGACAGAGTAGGAAACAGTAAGATCTTAGTACATTATAAGCGTTATCTCCCAGTCATTCTGTAGAAGCCTAGCCTCTTCTCACCGCCACCAGGTTTCCCCAGGATGGTTTGTGAACTTTCGTAGGTCAGCCCTGTGACACTGACTGAAGATTCAGAATAAAGATGAATCTGTGACTGAGGTGATGATGCACCAGTTAAAACCCTTGCTGCTCACATATGAGGACTGGAGTCTGGATCACCCATGACCTATACAAGTGCCTGATGGATATAGCTGCCTTCTACAATTCCAGTCTCAAAAGGCAGAGTTGGGATCCTAGAGCAAGCTAGCTAGCAAGACTAGCTACTTGGGTGTGCTCTGGGTTTTTGATCAAGAGACTCTGCTTCAAGGAACAATGTAAAAAAGCAATGAAGGGTGATTATGCATCAACCTCAGACACCCACATGCATGCACACATGAGCATGCTCACCTACACACGTGCAAATGCATAGATACACATACATGTATGTCACAGGCACAAAAGAAAAGTAGAAAAAGAGAAAAGGCTTAAGAACAATGGAGGCCTTGGGATTATCAGCACATTGGCCAGTGGACAGGAGTGTCAATCAACAGGTGAAATCTAAAGTCTTTCCTGCTTCTTCAGCCTCACAGCTGCTGGGCAGCCCCTTTGATAGGGGCTGTGTGGGCTCTGCTGCAGCCCCAGATGTTTGACCTCAGCTGTTTCTGGGCCCTGCTCTGTACGTCTGTGTGGTAGGTTGTGAGTCTCAGAGCTCTGGTCAGTTAGTGTACCCCCTTCCCTCTCAGGGCTCCCCTGAGAGGAAGAGAGAAAGAACTCTGCCGGATACTGCTGCCACTTTGTTCCTTCAAAGCTCTGTGCTGTGCCCTCTCTCAACTTGCCACTTGGATGTGGAGACTACTTTCAGAAAACAGAGACATGTTCTGAGTGCATTTTGGAAGAAAACTACAAAACAAGGCCCTTTGTCAAATCTACACAGCAGAGAGATATCTGAAGAGAAAAAAAGCAAGCCAGCACTTGGTCAGCGGCCCACCAGCCCATGGAGTTGGCCACCGTGCCCTTTTGTGTGCCCACCCAGACTGCCAGACAAGGCTGAGCAAAGGTCTTTTTTTCCCACAATCTCATTTTGTAGAGTGATTCTCGGCTAATGTTGGATGCTTTCCTCATTAACAGTGGCTGTAGGGTTGGGGAGGAAGCTCCTGGGACATTGTCCTCACACTAGGCAAGGGAGAGCATCCTGTCAGTGTGTCTTGTCACAGGAGCTTTATCATCCCACTGGTAGAGAAGGTTTTGAAATATGGCAATTTCATAAGGTGAAAGTTGATGTATTGGTGCGGTCAGTTGTTTTTTAGTAATCACGGTGAACCAGCTGACTATTTGTGTTTGGATGTGATGTGAATGTCTTCAAGACTTCATGTATGGAAATTCCATCCTGGTGAAAAGGATGGTGACTTGACATGAGGTTGCCACATGGAGATGGGCCATTCAGGAAGGGATGGAATTCATCATGGTAGAAGACATACCATTGCATCTTTGTAGATTTATAAAGATAGGAAGAGAGTTGAGCACACACACACACACACACACACACACACACACACAGAT